CTCACACTTCTTATCAAACTGTCTGTACTGGGCTAGCTTGATTATCACTTCAAAAGTCTTTTTTCTCTTACTTAATTGGCCTCTCAGAGTTGGTAAGACAACTCCCACCTGTTTATGCTCTCTGTATGTGTGCATATATATCTCCTCAATATTTATTCCATTCTATATTCATCCAAAGAAGTGGGCTGTAGTCCACAAAAGCTTATGCTCTAATAAATTTGTTAGTCTCTAAGGTGCCACAAGTACTCCTGTTCTTTTTACAGATACAGACTAACACGGCTGCTACTCTGAAACCTTTATTACCTGTGAATTTCTTCATTATGGTCTCCAGAGGTGCATTTCTTTGAAAAGATTCCCAGATTCTCCATTTCAGGTCAGAAGAAAAGGCCACTGGGTTCTGAAACTTCTTCCTCTCACATCTGAAGAACAACCCAGTGTTACTCGCTGTGGAGTTCGGTCATATTTGTGTTTTACTAACATGTGTTTTACTCCAGTGAATGGTTGTAGCTCAGCAGACCCTGGAGGATTAAAGTCTCTGTTGCCCCAGGAATAGGTCCAATCCCAGCTTGGACACTACAAGCTTCCCCTTCATTCTGGTGAGACCGATATTGGAAAACTGCCTCCAGTTCTGGTGTCCCCATTTTAAAATGGACGTTGAAATACTGGAGACGGTGCAGAGAAGACCCACAAAACTGATTTGAGGGCTGGTAAAAATGCCTTGCACAGAGAGACCCCTGGGGCTTGAGTGTGGGGTATAAATACCGTCATGGGGAGAACAGAGTTGGTACTAAAGGGCTCCTCAGTTTAGCAAACAAAGGCACAACAAGGACCAATTGCGGGAAGCTGAAGCCAGAGAAATTCCAATGGGAAATCAGACAGACATTGTTAACAGTGCGGGTGGATTAATCATTGGAAGAAACTGCCAAGGGAAGTGGTGGATTCTCCATCTCTGGACGGGCACCAGAACACAGGGGCCATGGCCCCATCACTTTTAAAAGTGGGAGAGCTCTGCTCTCTGCCTTTGTACCTGCCTTAAAGGCAAGTGATGGGGGGAGGGGTGGAGAGGACGATCAGGGGGCGGGGTCT